CCCCAAAACCCCAAAACCCCAAAACCCCAAAACCCCAATAAGGCTATCACTCATTGAACTTTATCTATATATTAATTTACCGAAAACTAAAGGAAAAAGATGAAGCAAAGAGTTTGATTATCCCCTAATGCATTCAGAAACTTAAACTTAAAACCAACGAAGAAGCTGAATCTAACTGCAATGAATCTAACTAACATATCACCTTCCAAAGCCTCTTGACACTCTCCAGTAAAGGCAAAGGCCAAAGCCAAATACAAAAGTACTAATATGGTTCCAGAGGTTATTGTAGCTGACAATCGAATCAAATCTCCAGCTTCTCCTCTAAAAAAGAGAATGATTTTCTCCCAAAGAAGTAGGATGAGGACATCCAAAGCATGTAGAGCAAATTCCAACATTTGCCTCTCTAAAATTTTATCAGATGGTGACTCTGAGCCTCACCAGCAGATAGAAAAGAAAGGAAGTGGGAAGCAAATCAGTACTGAAGAGAAGCATATTAAAACCATTTGAGAAAGAATAAATGAACACACAATTGACAGGAAATAAATATATATGTACTCTTTGCTATTTATTCTATAGCCTTGAAAAATTCCCCCAATAAAAGGATGAATAAAATGACTCGTATCAAAAGTTTTGAAGAGAGAAGAGAAGGTATGATGATATTCAACAACTCATTTTTTCACCTTATTCGGTGCCCTAATTTTTTCTCTAACCTAGTTATTATAGTACCTAATCTTCTACAAGAAATAAGGAACCTTCGGTAAGTTTTGGAGTAAAATTCCAACATAATTCACAAAATTATGTGGCATAAAAACTCAAATTTCCTATCCAACTTGTTCAAATCTTATTGAATATTTTATGAAAGATTTGTTGAAATTAACTGGTTCATAGAGGATCAGAAGAGAAATTAGAGAGCTTTGAGAAACTAATCATCACCCTTCACACCTCTAACTCCAATTTGAAATAAACTTATCAACCAAGATAAGTTGAGGATCCATAAGCTTGAGAAACAAGTTAAGAGTCTCAACTCTCAATTGGCTACCAAATGAAATTTAATTTCTCAATTATGAGAAGTCAATACTCGTAAGTCCCATTCGATATCCCATCCTGCCCTAGACTATTCTTGAGGCATTTCCATGAATCCTAAAATTATAATAATAGCTTCACCTTTTGATGTCTTGGAAAATTGTAATTCAAAAATAATTTTCTCAATTTCTCAATTTGAAAACTGTAGGTGAGCATAATTTTTAAGTAAAAATCTTTTTATAATAATTTCTCAGTTATATACCTTTGATATCTTTGCCAAATTTTGCTGTTTATATTCCATTGACTAAGATACTAAAAATAGGCGCTATTAATGACAGATTTATAAGCTTTTCTGCTATATAAAGTAATTAAATTTGATAATTTGTAACATAATTGCATTTTCTAACCTTGTCTCTATAACTAGGTTCATTAGATTTTTAAGAGTAATCATTTCTGATGTTTATCCTAAACATACCAGAAATTATGAAGAATCATTAATATTTATGAAATTTTATTTTCTTAGTTTGAAAATTAGGAAACTTCTGAATTCTTATTCCAGATTTAGTTTTGATATAGGCTTTAAACATAATAATATAGACCTCCGAAATTGAGAGCAAGAAGAGAAATCTTTTATCAAAACTCTCGAAATAATTCAAGTAAATCATGACAAAGCAATTCAAAAATTAAACAGCGAGTTCTCAGATGAGGTTGAGAATCTTACTGAAATGCTGGCTAAAGCTACTAATGACCATATTGAAACCAAAGAAACTCACTTTAAGAAGATCACAGATCTTATTGACCTCGTCTGAGAGAAAGAAGTTCTTATTGAGAACCTTAATGACGAAATATCTGATCTTAAGTTTGAAAAAACTCAATATAACAAAGAGATTACACAAAATTTCAAATCAGAAATTGATGAGTTAAAATGCCTCCTCAAAGTTAAAGATGGAATTATTGCAGATCTACGAAGAAGCTCACCAACTCAGTCTAATACTTGAGATCAAGGGAAGGTCTCTACCAAGGGATCCCGAATGCCTGAACACACGGGTAAAGGACAGAAGATATATTTAAAAGTGAATAATTTGGAGAAGTCTCATTTATTTGCCAAAAATGCATAAGCAAATAACTCTTGTTATCCCCTAATGTTGTTAATAGTATCATTGTTTTCAATTTTATGCAGAATTAGGGGTTTTGGGGTTTTGGGGTTTTGGGGGTTTGGGG